AAAAAGTAAAAAAAACAACTATCCACTGGAAGTTTCTCTTCCATCCAGGAAGATTTTTCAATCCAAAATGTCAGAAATAGCGTTTAGTTCCAGGTTTTATCCAGCAGCCCAACAAAGCCTGGTTTTAGTTTAGAAAACATGCAAATAGAAACGGATGAACGGGTCCCCCCCTTTGGAATGGGGGTCGTTTGGCTTCTTTGTTAGCCTGTAATGCCCCATACCTGTCTATGTCTCTGAAAGGGGGGGTCGTTAATCCCTTAAAACCTTAATAATAATTCAGAATGCATAAAATTCCACCGGTAAAGTTTTACCAGCAGGTGGAGCCATTGCGCGCAGCTCCAAGCTGACACCAAACGTTCAAAGCCCCACAGCTCTGGAACTGTTATAGCTAGAGGTCTGAAATTTTCTGCAGTAGTGGTTGACATGATGAAGAACAGATTTAATACAATAAAACCTGCTTTTTCTCAAGAATGTCTTTATTACTGTGGTTAAAAAAAGACCTATAATTTCCGAGAATAAAAAAACAACAACTTTGAGTCATGTTTGAACTGATGTAGGTTGGTCTGTGTTCTAGTCACCCAATTTCAATTTATATATTAGGAAGCTAGAGGTTGTTAGCTTTCAAATAATGGATTGCACATGTAATTTGGGCCTATTGTTCCGAAATTGTTTGCTTTTCCATTTGGGTATGCAGAATAGACTAGGATTACCCAAAATGAGGTGGATGTTAAGAGGTTAAAGGGAAATGTTGGCCTGGCTGAACAGGCGAGGTCTTCTGTTCCTCTGTAAAGGGGTTGGGGCTGCGATGATAGCGATCGTAACATTCCAAAGGGGGGGACCCGTTCATCCGTTTCTATTTGCATGTTTTCTAAACTAAAACCAGGCTTTATTGGGCTGCTGGATAAAACCTGGAACTAAACGCTATTTCTGACATTTTGAATTGAAAAAGCTTCCTGGATGGAAGAGAAACGTCTTCAAACCTGGAAACAAAGTCCAGAGGATTGATTTTTTATTTTTGAGGAGGTAGATGGTTGGTAGAGCCGTTGGCCCTGACTGTGGATCCGTTCTGTGTTCCAGGTGAGAACCTGGCCTTCTGGGAAGCAGCTGAGGAACTGAAGTGGGGCACCGCCTCTTCCATGTCAGCAAAGGCTGAGACCATCTTTAAGTAAGCCCGTAAACGGACTGTTTCACTCAGTGTGTTGTAGTTACGGCCTGGTTTCATTTATATATCGATCTTAGCAATGAAGGGCAGGTGATTGGTTAATTATTGTTCTAAACTCTCCAGCATATTGAATGTATCCATCACTGAATGGTAAAAAGTGTCCGACCGACACTGAGGATACTAGAACTGTGCTGATAATAAACAATGCATTACATTTTCATAGTTAATAAACAAAGTATTTGTCATTAAAATCATAGTCCATCTTCCTGGAAAAAAGTTTTCTTCTTCCAACTAAACCTGTTTGAGTAGAAATGACCAAAACATGTTCTGTTCATTAAAGGAAAAGTCCGGTCAGCGAGGAACGATCAAACAATAATTTTCATCACGATCACTGAGTCTGGGAGCGGCCATCTTTGCCCAAATATAGTAGCCCCTCCCTCCTGCCATCTTCCAGCAGTGACGTCACGGTGCGGTAAGCCTAGCGCCATTCTCCCCGCTTTCCAAGCTAAATCAATGGGAACTACTAGACACATCTGCTCAAATCTACTTTATATTGTTAGTTTTCAGCTCTAGGTGATTGCCAGAAAAGAT